TTGTTTTCCTTTGAATTTCGTTGGCGCTATTTCCTGTTATAAAAATGCTAGTATCATCAGCAAAGAACGTTGGTTTCCCATGCTCTATGACAGCCTCTAGGTCATTTATGTATAATAGAAACAACACTGGTCCCAGAACAGAACCTTGTGGGACGCCATGGCTAATGGGTCTCTTTCGGGATAGGTAATTACTGATTCGATTAGTTTGTTTACATCTGTATGTAATTTCTACTTCTTGCTCCCTGTTTTTTAAATATGTTTGGAACCACCTTAGTGTAACCCCTCGTATTCCCATTCTTGCCATTTTTCTTAGTAATATGTCATGGTCTACTAGGTCAAACGCTTTTGATAAATCTAAAAATAACCCTATACTTGCTTCTTTTTCATCTAGTGCTTTGTAGACCATCTTTGTAAATTCCGTGATTGCTGTATGTGTTGATTTCCCTTTACAGAATCCGTGTTGTTTGTTGTTAATTATGCTATACTTATTTATGAATGATAGAAGTCTCCTGTGCATAATTTTTTCAATTATTTTAGAAAAAACAGAAATTAATGATACTGGCCTGTAGTTATCAACAGTAGCAGTACAACCTTTTTTATACAAAGGTTTCACTTTTGCTATTTTTAGTTGGTCAGGGAAGTAACCAGATGAAAATGACAGATTTATTATGTATGTTAGAGCATTTGCTAGTTGAGAATGACATTTTTTAATAATGAACTCTGGAATATCGTCTATGCCCGTTGACTTTTTATTACCCAGTGTTTTAATTATGTCTACCACCTCCTTTTCAGTGGTTGGGATTAAGAACATGCTATTGCTGTTGTATTTTATTGTATTTATCCTGTCTACATTATTTTGTGCTATCGGATTGTTACTCCGGATATGCTGGGCAATGTTAGTGTAGTAATCATTAAAAACATTGGCTATTTCTTTGGGATCCTGTATAGCTGTTCCAGTCACTTCTATTTCAATGTTCTTTGGAACTTTTTGCTGATTGCCTAATTCTTCTTTGATTAAATCCCACATGGCTTTTGATTTATTCCCAGATGATCGTATTCGCATGTTGTTGTGTAACTTTTTAGCCTCGCTGATAACTTTGTTGTATATTTTTTTGTACTGGCTATAGTATTTTTTAAGTTCTTCAGATGTGTTTCCTTCCTTCATTAGGCTATGAAGAGTCCTAAGTCTATTTCCTGATACCCGTATGCCTAAGGTAATCCATTTATTTTCTTGCTGCTTAATTTTTACCCATTTTTTAGGCATAGCTATATTGTGACAGTACTGAAAGATGCCTAAAAATTCATTGTATGCAACATTCGCCTCATTTTGCTTAAAAACAAGCTCCCAAGTCTCTTTTCCTAGTAAATAATTTAGATATTGTACGTTTTCCTCACTGTAAAGTCTAGCTAATTTGAACTCCTTAGTTATTCTACCTTGTCCTTTTTTATTCTTATAGTGCATATATACTTGTAGTATTTGGGCATTATGATCAGAGAGCCCTGTTTCTGCCACTTTATAGTTGTATTCCCATAAGCCCCTGTTTAGTATTATTTGGTCTATGGCTGTTTGGCTTGTAGGTCCTATTCTTGTTGGGACATCAACTATTGCTTGTAAGCCATATGAGTCCAGCATTGTCTGCAATTGTGGATTTACACTTTTTTTTATAAAATCTACATTGAGATCTCCTACAATAATAATATTCTTCCCTTTGTTGGTTAGACTGTTAAGTATTTTGTCCAGATTTTTTATAAATATGTTGATGTTACTGTTAGGAGTTCTATATATACAGATTATGATAGTATTAAATTGTATAAGTTCAATTATGCTGGCCTCAAAGTGCTCTTCTTGATTTAAGCTTTCAAATAGGTTACAAGGTTTTGCATCTAGGTTTGTTTTGACATAAATGCATGAACCTCCATGCAATTTATTTTTCCTACAAAATTTTGAAATCAAGGAGTAGTTTTCAAAGTTATAATAACCTATTTCTCTTTCATCTAACCAATGTTCAGTGATACAAAGTATATCTGATTCTAGCATTTTGTTTGTTAATAGCACTTCTATATTTAGTTTCTTGTTACTTAGACTTTGAACATTTTGATGTATTATTTGGATGTTTGCACTCATTTTGTTAGTATTCTTGAGAGTACCAGTACTATTCTTATTATTATGCTTATCTATAAAAAATCTTTACTTAGCTTTACTGGGAGCTTCCTTTTCCTGGTTGACATTCGGATTTCCTGCTGCTGGTCTCCACTGGATGACACCACTCTGTTGAGGGATGGATCGACTGGAGTTGCCTTATCTTCCTTCGCCTGGTTTTCTGCAGTTTCACCCTCTACTTCAGTCACCTGGATTTCTGTAACCTCGTCCTCCGTTGCAGTCCCTTGAATTTCTGCAGTCTCGTCCTCTGTTGCAGTCGCCTGAATTTCCGCTGTCTCTTCCTCTGTTTCATTCAGTTGAGTTTTTGTAGTCTTTTTCTGGACAGTGTTTCCTTCATAGTTTAGTGGAATGGCTTCAACATGGATTCTAGATTCTGACGGTGTAGTTCTGTTGACTCTTTCCCCCACTTTCAGTTTAACTAATTTGGCTATCTGCTGACACATCTTTACTTTCCCTTCTTTGTTCATGTGCAGCCCATGTTTTGTGAAGTGTTGCCTGCCAAGATCCATACTGCAGATTGCTGCATGCTGATATGATTTCATTCTTTTGGCTAGAAGTCTATTGAATCGTATCACCTCTCTGTTGACACAAGACCAATCAGCCAGGTCATGTCTGTGTGGTGCTTCCATAATCAATATGTTGGTATGACTGGTCCTTTCTATAAAGTTGATTACGTTGTTTATTCCTTCCTTTGCTCTATCTTTGCCGATGTCATTGGTACCAGCCCACACTACTACAATGTCATTCTTTGTCATCCTTTTGTCAATATTGGTATTTAATATGTCACTTGATCTGGCACCTGGTTTCACAATTCCTATGACCCCGAACTCTTTACTTAATTCGTTCATTATAAGGTCTGCACTTCTTTTCGCATGGCTGTCCCCAAGTATCAGGACGCTGTGCTTCTTGGATTTTACCATATTGCATGTATTATTTGATTGTTGATTTTTGTGCTTTTGCTCCGATTTCTTGCGATTTCTCATACTAGGGACTCCGTTAACTACTGTTGCTATTGGTCTGCCTTTGTACTTCGTGAGAGGTTGTAGGTTAGGTTGGCTATGTTCTTGAAGATTATTTAACACTGCATAGCGATTTGCTGTGTGAACACAGTAGTCAGTAATAGGTGGTAAATTAACTCTCTCCTTAGTCGCCTGACTTATTCTCACTTGCCTCCAATCATCAGTATCACATTCATCGCACTCCTTACAGTGGATATAGTTACCACTGGATTCTTGTTCCGATGTTGAGCTAACTTCTTTTTGTAGTAACTCTATGATAAACTGAGCAGTTTTAAGATCCTCTTGCACTCTTTGAAGTTCCCTTTTTAGTTTTATACAACTTAAACAGGAAGTTCCACTACTATGAACTACATTATTACATAAAATGTTAGAGCTCACGCTAGACGCCTCAATACCATCCGCCATCTTGCTAGCTTTTCAGACATGCATACATAACTCAGGACATGAAAAAAGAACCAGTTATACAAATGGGGTCTGACAAAATGATACTGAGACATGTATATGAAAGACCATTCACAGTAAGATTTCCTGACAGGAGTGAATGGGAAGATGGGTTTCGGCCAGGTAGAAAAGGGGGACTGATCTGGTATACAGATGGTTCCAAGATAAACAAGGGCACTGGAGCTGGTGTGTTCTGGTATGGCACGAGGCAGAAACTTAGTTTCAGCCTTGCGCAGTACATGACGGTATTCCAGGCAGAAGTATATGCCATTAAGGCGTGTATTATGGAGAATCTAGATGGTAACTACAGAAATAGGAACAGCTACATTCTATCTGACAGCCAAGCTTCACTTAAAGCGCTTAACAAACACCAGATCAACTCAAAATTTGTCTGGGATTGCCACCAAACTCTCATGGAACTGGCAAAACATAACAGGGTACAACCGATATGGGTGCCGGGGCAGGAGGGTATTGCTGGAAACGAAATAGCAGACCAATTCGCCAAGATTGGAGTTGAACATCCGTTCACAGGACCTGAACCAGCCTGTGGCATTTCTATAGGAGTCTCCAGAAAGGCAGTCAGGGACTGGACACATATGAATCACAAGAAATACTGGGGATCCTTAACTGGACTCAGGCAAGCAAAAGGACTCATACGAGGACCCTCTACTAAAAGAGTGAAGGAACCGTTGAAGTTAAACAGGAACCAGCTACAATGGGTGGTAGGACTACTTACAGGACACTGTCACTTCAAAGGACACCTCTTCAAATTGGGACTAAGTAAAAGTCCAACTTGTGAGAGGTGTCAAGAAGGAAATGAAACAGCCACACATATCTTGTGCGAATGTGAGGCCTTAGCTTATTTAAGATTGCGTCACTTGGGTCAATATTTTATGGAACCAAGTGATTATTTCGACGTCCCCACATACAAGATCCTGCGCTTCATTTGAAGTGCAGGATTGTTGAGGGGATAATCAGAAAGGGAGGCACAAGAGATCACTGTGGTTGCGGTGCAAGGGCCAAGAAGGCCCACCCCCTTATACATACATTCATTAATTAATTCATTCATTCATTCAAGGTAAACATTGGAAGACACATTAATGCATATAATGAAACAAACTAAATAATAATAATAATACAGCCCCACAAATGCATAATACTGTTTAATTCTGTGATTTACTATGTAATAGTAGTGTAGCTTGACTTTAATTGACTCAGTTACCCATACATGTTGATGGACACCCACACACCACACATCCCTGCTTTATCTTTATGTACTCTCTCACACCTACCCTTTTTAACACCTGTTTGATCATGAGTTTCAAAATTATTTCTAATAATAAGGGAGTTTTTCATGTTATTTCCTCTTGTTTTGCAGAGTACTCCAAATGGGCCCCAACCCATGTGCAGTGGGGAGCAGCGATATTCCGGTGATGAGTGTGATAAATCATTCACTCAACAGTGTAATCTAAGGGTTCACTGCAAGACACATCAACACATACATAGTAGGGCGAGGCCATTTTGCTGTGACGTGTGTAACAAGTCATTCAGTGATGGCAGTAATCTGAAGGTACATCAGCGCATGCATAGTGGTGACTGGCCTTTTTGCTGTGATGTGTGTAATAAGTCATTCAGTCAGAAGGTTAATCTGAAGAGACATCAATGCGTACATAGTGGTGAGCGGCCGTTTTGCTGTGATGTGTGTAATAAGTCATTCAGTTGGCTGAGTGATCTGAAAAAACATCAACGTGTACATAGTGGTGAGCGGCCGTTTTGCTGTGATGTGTGTAATAAGTCATTCAGTTGGCTGAGTGATCTGAAAAAACACCAACGTATACATAGTGGTGAGAAGCCTTTTTGCTGTGATGTGTGTAATAAGTCATTCAGTAGTGGCAGTAAGCTGAAGAAACATCAGCGCATACATAGTGGTGACCGGCCGTTTTGCTGTGATGTGTGTAATAAGTCATTCAGTAATAGCGGTATTCTGAAGCAACATCGGCGCATACATAGTGGCGACCGGCCTGTTTGCTGTGTTGTGTGTAATAAGTCATTCAGTAGGCTGGGTCATCTGAAAAGACACCAACGTATACATAGTGGTGAGAAGCCTTTTAGCTGTGATGTGTGTATGAAGTCATTCAGTAGTGGCAGTAATTTGAAGATACATCAGGGCATGCATAGTGGTGACCGGCCTTTTTGCTGTGATGTGTGTAATAAGTCATTCAGTTTCCTGAGTCATCTGAAGATACACCAACGCATACATAGTGGTGAGAAGCCTTTTAGCTGTGATGTGTGTATGAAGTCATTCAGTAGTGGCAGTAATTTGAAGATACATCAGCGCATGCATAGTGGTGACCGGCGATTTTGCTGTGATGTGTGTACTAAGTCATTCATTAATAGCAGTAATCTGAAGATACACCAACACGTACATAGTGGTCAGAAGCCTTTTAGCTGTGATGTGTGTAATAAGTCATTCAGTACGCTGTGTCATCTGAAAAGACACAAACGTATACATAGTGGTGAGAAGCCTTTTAGCTGTGATGTGTGTACGAAGTCATTCAGTGATGGCAGTAATCTGAAGAAACATCAGCGCATACATAGTGGTGACCGACCGTTTTGCTGTGATGTGTGTACTAAGTCATTCACTGATAGCAGTACTCTGAAGCAACATCGGCGCATGCATAGTGGTGACCGGCCATTTTGCTGTGATGTGTGTACTAAGTCATTCAGTAAAAGCAGTAATCTGAAGGAACATCAGCGTATACATAGTGGTGACCGGCCTGTTTGCTGTGTTGTGTGTAATAAATCATTCAGTAGGCTGCGTCATCTGAAAAGACACCAACGTATACATAGTGGTGAGAAGCCTTTTTGCTGTGATGTGTGTAATAAGTCATTCAGTTGGCAGGTTAGTCTGAAGAGACATCAACGCGTACATAGTGGTGAGCGGCCGTTTTGCTGTGATGTGTGTAATAAGTCATTCAGTTGGCTGAGTGATCTGAAAAAACACCAACGTATACATAGTGGTGAGAAGCCTTTTAGCTGTGATGTGTGTACGAAGTCATTCAGTAGTGGCAATAATCTGAAGAAACATCAGCGCATACATAGTGGTGACTGGCCGTTTTGCTGTGATGTGTGTGCTACGTCATTCAGTAATAGCGGTAGTTTGAAGATACATCAGGGCATGCATAGTGGTGACCGGCCTTTTTGCTGTGATGTGTGTAATAAGTCATTCAGTTTCCTGAGTCATCTGAAGATACACCAACGCGTACATAGTGGTGAGAAGCCTTTTAGCTGTGATGTGTGTACGAAGTCATTCAGTAATGGCAGTAATCTGAAGAAACATCAGCGCATACATAGTGGTGACCGGCCGTTTTGCTGTGATGTGTGTACTAAGTCATTCACTAATAGCAGTATTCTGAAGCAACATCGGCGCATGCATAGTGGTGACCGGCCATTTTGCTGTGATGTGTGTAATAAGTCATTCAGTAGGCTGGGTCATCTGAAAAGACACCAACGTATACATAGTGGTGAGAAGCCTTTTAGCTGTGATGTGTGTACGACGTCATTCAGTGATGGCAGTAATCTGAAGAAACATCAGCGCATACATAGTGGTGACCGGCCGTTTTGCTGTGATGTGTGTACTAAGTCATTCACTAATAGCAGTATTCTGAAGCAACATCGGCGCATGCATAGTGGTGACTGGCCATTTTGCTGTGATGTGTGTACTAAGTCATTCAGTAATAGCAGTAATCTGAAGATACACCAACGTGTACATAGTGGTGAGAAGCCTTTTTGCTGTGATGTGTGTAATAAATCATTCAGTTATAAGGGTAATTTGAGGGGGCATCTGCGCATACATAGTGGGAAGCAGACATAGAGCTGTGCGGTGTGTAATAAGTTATTTGCTCATCAAAGCCATCAGAAGACATATCAAGTTACACATAGTGATGGGTATATTAAATCAGACAACAATAGAGTGCTGCACCTTTGCACAATAAACAAATGGTGATACATTAGTATCAATATGTCTTTGTTTACATCCATAGATGTTATTGTGTAGATCACCCCATTTGTGATATCCCGAACTCATGTTTGGTATGTGGGAGTACTGGTCACATGACCTGCAGAGCTGAAGTTCCATCAAATGCACATACATTTAAGTTTCAGTATATTGGAGCAAAATGAAAATGAGAGTGATGAAATTCATGAAGTCTACTCTTCCAGAATATGATTACAGTGATAAGCTGAATGGTGATAGGTGAAACACTATATTCTCTTTTGTGGGAAAGCTTAAAATCAAGTGATCACTGGAAAGCTTAGCTTCTTTGGTAGGATAAAATTAAAATGCATCTGAAATGTAACATGAGGGTATGGCCTGGATTTAATAAAACCAAGATGGGTTCCATAGACTGCTATAAATATGATAAATTTTTACCTGCTACAAAGGGGAGGCAGTTTCTGTTGACCAGCAAAGTGATTTATCTTACCAAGAATAGCTTTCCTCCCTGGACTAAATTGTATAATAATCTCATATAATAAATAATAACTTCTTTAAAGCTGGAAGGAATGATGACTTATTTCTGCATCAAATTAACACTTGGCGAACTGGCGACTTAAATATTTAAATCACCCTGGGGACCGACATTTTTATACCTACTACCCTAACTTGTGCACTGTTCACTTTAAAAATTAATATAAAATCTCCTAATTACTTTTATAAATTAAAATTTTTGGAGAACACTTACCAATGCTAGAAGTGCTTGAGAGAGTGATATTTCTGGAAACATTCCCCTTTGTGAAGTGCCATTACACACTTGCAAATGTAGACAGTCATAGTACTTTTTTTGTGAACTGTGCAAGCATGGCATTGCCTAGAAAGATGCCTCCCCTTGGAATGTTCACTCTTCACAATTTTCACGAGGGTATGTTTCCGCATATCACCCGAAAGTCACCCAGGGGTGTCCACATGAGGTCTGCATGGGGTGGGAGTAGATGGGCCCGGTCGTACTAAGACTGTGTCTGCCACTGGTTCTGCCGCCACCGTGTGGTCTGTAGCCCAGGCTTTTGCCACATTCAGCAGAAATGCCTTGTATTTCAATTTTGAAAGAGGGCTTACATTTTTGAAAACCAAAAATGAATTGAAAATGGCACAATTTATAAGCCACAAAGCAACTTTCTTTGTCCACTTTACTGTTTTCTGAGGAAGAGAATAATAGGCCAAGTACTGATCGGCTCTATCANCAAATGTGGTTTCACAACGTTTCAGGGATTTACATTCCTCTTTCAGATCTGGAGGAAGGCCTCTGTTCACTCTAATTGTTCCACAAACATGTACTTTTCTTGAAAGTAGGTGTTCTGCAGTTGACACACTGTTATAATAATTGTCTTGATAGACATGGTAATTTTGATCACGATAGGGTTCTAAAACGGAAAGAATAGTTTTTGTAATTTCTTTCCTTCACCAGAATAAAATTCTAAATTTCCAATATAGCCTGAAGTGCTTTCAGTAACTACACGAACAAGTAGGCCATACTTTGTTAAGTTTCCCAGTATTATATGTTTGCGTATTGCACTACTCACTGACAGCATGCTATGTACAGCTTGAAGAAATAAAGGCATTAATTTTCCTTTGCAAGGGCATACGGTTACAGCGAGGTCACGTAACTGATTAGTCAGCAAACATTTCAGAGGCTTATCACGCAGCTGTAGGCAGCTATGTGCAAGCTGTGTGGCATCAGAGCAATGTATAGTGTGTTGCAATTTATTGTGTTCTAACGTATTAATATGCGACCGGTCTGCCACGTTTAAAAGCGAAAAACGTATTAATGCATGCACGGTCCACAAAGTGTTAATTGTGTTTTTAAATCGCAAACGTTTTAAATTATACGTATAAGTGGATGTGTACGTACATACACACATATATTTGAACACGAGGAGCACTTTTAGTGCATTCAGATTCATTCCAAAGCGAGCTTTAATGTGCTGTTCCAGAGGTTACCAAAGTCTAATATGTTGCACCCCCCTTTAAAACATTTAAATAAATTTCACACACACAAACCCCTTACAGAACAAGTAAAAACAGATTTTACATAAAATTTCGCTATGAGTATGCATTTTTTATAATATACTATATACAGAGTGACACAGAAAAACGGGAACTTTTGGCAAACATATAAAAATAGAATACATGCAACAACAAAAAATTTTATTGACAGTAATTGAACCACTACAACTTGCCTTTTAAGAAACAACAATCCAAATTATCAATTTCTGAAAATTACGTCCTGCAGATGGCGTCCTTGTCTATGTATACATTCTCCTAATCTGTTGTTCAGGTTCCCCATTGATCGCTGCAACATCTCAGCTGGGATGCCACGAATTTCTTCTTCAATTCTTTGTTTCAGTTCATCCAGTGTCCTTGGCCGAGTCGTGTAGACCCGACTCTTGAGGTAGCCCCACAAGAAAAAATCACAAACTGATAAATCCAGTGATCTTGGGGGCCAAGGAATGTCACCGAATCTTGAGATGACATGATTACCAAACAGTTCTCGCACAGCTGCAATTGATTGCCTTGCAGTGTGTGATGTCCCACTGGATATTTATTAGATATTAGAATGAAAATACAATAAGTACAAAGATAAACAAGAACAGACAAAACTGCAAAAACCATCTGGACTGAAAGACTGACAAGAGAGCAATGAAACAGGTTCTACAGTAAAACCAAAAGGATGCTGATACTGAGGAAGAACCTGGAAAAGATGCAATGAGCATGTAGAGTCACAACAAGTATGATTACCTACACCATGAAATTAAGAAAAGATTTATTAATAAGAGTGTTATTTATGAGTACTTACTTACGGAGCTGAGACCTTCTTGAGGAGAAGCCAAATCTGCAGCTACTCAAGAACTTCCCAGCATTTTATGGATCCTAAGGGTTCAGTACCGTGTTCACAAGAGTCCTCCACTGGTCCCTATCAATTCAATCCAATCCATACCATCCCATCCTATCCAAGATCCATTCTAATAGTGTCCACCCACCTATGTCTTGGTCTTCCAGTGGTCTCTTTCCCTCTGGCTTTCCCACCAATATCCTATATACATTCCTCTTCTCCCCCATTCGTGCTACATGCACTGCCAACCTCATCCTCGTAAGAGTGTTATTACATAAGATGAACTTGATTACTTCAAAGGATGAATTACTAATTAAAGAAATTAGATTAATAGATTCTGGGTAATATCCAAGATTTAATTAAAAAAAAAAGAGGGTCATAATTTCACAAATCAATAAATAAGAAGTAAATGTTAATACCATGTTACAGAAAACAATGTGCTACTGATTATATTTACCTCATCAATAAATTTCCTTCTAACTTCAGTAAAAAAAAAAAAAATGTCTAAGTTGCAAGCATATACATTTTCAACTGCAACAAGTTAGGAAATATATTTTCATCATAATATATTTGACATAGGCACTCCCTTTGGTTTAATTGTTCCAAAACAATGAGAGAGACGTGGAAAATGTGTATTGAGCATAAAATGTGTTTCATTTTTTCTTCAACCTGCTTTTGAAACATTCTTCACTCTGATAAATATTCTGAGAGGTATACTTGGGATGCAGGAAGGAACACTTATAGGTCTAAATGTAATGTATCTGTAATTTTTATCGAATTTTAACTGAAAATGAAATGTGTCAACATCAGTGCTATCTTATGCCTCTGAGACCTGGCCACTGTCAAGATCGGATGAAAGACTGTTAACCATACTTGAAAGGAGGATCTTCAGATATATATCTTTGGACCAGTGGAAGAAAATGGAATATGGAGGAAGAGGTATAACCATGAGCTATACAAACTATTTAATGAACCAGACATTATTTGATTTATAAAGGTGAAACTGCTTGAATGGGCTGGACACACAATACATGCCAGCGAGAATAGAACGATTAAGAAAATACTTAATACTAAACCAGAAGGAAATAGGAGAGTAGGAAGACCAAGATTAAGATGGGAAGAATGTGTGTGGCAGGACATAAGAATTTTGGGTGTAAAGAACTGGAGGAATGTAACATCTAATGGAGAAGAATGGCGAGCAATCCTGAGGAAGGCCAGGGCCCACAAAGGGCTGTCATGCCAGTGATGATGATGATGAAATGTGTCAACAACACTTAGCAGAACTCAGTGATATCAAATTTATGGATCTCCATTCAATGGTTCCTGGGTTACTGCTGTGTGTGGAGAGACAGATATGGCCAAGCTAATGGGTATATTTTTATAAATTTTACTTGTAAATGTGCCAAAAACTATCCAGATGACATAGTAGGTCATTACTTGACATTGTATTAGGGACAGTCAGTAAACAGGTCACAAACTGAAGTAAAATAGCTGTAATGGACACAACAGCTTTTTCTGTGTACCACTAGGTAGCAGCACAGTCCAGCTTCATGACAGTCTAGGTAGCAGACGCACATGCTCATGTAAGATTTGAGGCTTTCACGGCGGTGACTATGAAGAAAGCAGTCTTTTGGGATTTGGCACACGGTGCCAAATCCCAAAAGACTGCTTTCTGCACATGCTCATGTTCAGAGGCTGGTTTCAGTAGTCAAAATGGCTGCTGAGCTTGAGGGTGTACTACAAAAGAGCAGCATTCTGTTGTGCATTTGAAAGTATTCAGTGCAAAGGATATTCATAAAGAAATGTTTCCTGTTTATGGTGGGAAGTGCCTATTGTGCAAAGCAGTTCACAGCTGGGTGGCATATGTTTCACCGATTATGAAGAGGGTGAAATGGAGGTGCAGAGGTGGCTGAGACAACAGTTACAAGACTTCTGTTATGCGGGTTTTAATGCACTGGTAAAGCAAGGGGACAAGTGTAGCAATGTTGGTGGAAGATAAGTCGAGAAATAAATGTTCTTTCCAGGTTCAAAAATCACATGTGTTACACTTTATATCCATTTGTGACCTATTTACTGACTTTCCCTTGTCTTTCTTACCTAATGGTTATAAACTACAAATATTTTCTCAAATGT